TTCCTGCTTCAGCTGTCTGTTACAGGGTAATTTGTAAATAAATGCTACCTGTAAAAGTAAGGAGATTGTACTCACATGGTATACCTAGGTGGTAACCATGATAACGTAGGGTGCAAGATTAATATAGCAACTGTAAAAGTTTTATAGTCTGCAGGAAAAAAGTATTCTCCCTGGTATCTCTGAAAGCCCTGGATTCAGTTTAATCTCTTGGCAGTTGCATGTCATAACAAGTTTTCCAGAGAAAAGCACAGGCTCTAGTAATCAGCTGATGGCCTATTTTCAACTTCCTACCCCTGGACAGAAAAGAAAATACTATTTTATTTGTCAACACCTATGTGTCATACTTTTCATTGTTGCAGTACTGTCATTCTGAACTGACGCAGAATTTGTCTGCATGGATGCTGCTCAGTTTGATTAGCGATCAGCTCTCCTAAAGTTGTGATAGTATATCAAAAAGATTGATGTTACATTTAGTCTGATTAATACTCCATATCAGTTTGATTAGCGATCAGCTCTCCTAAAGTTGTGATAGTATATCAAAAAGATTGATGTTACATTTAGTCTGATTAATACTCCATATCTGTACTCATGAGGAAGGTGAACGCATGATATTCCGTTAAATATGGGAATAGAACTCACTTGGCACTGTGAATGTAGGTGATACAGCTTTGCCACGTAATCTTTCATGAATTGTTCTGTTTTATGATGCTAGTCTCACTTAATTATCCCAGTAACATTTGTTAGAGCTATATAAGGATATGTTCCTCATCTGAGATTAAAATCAAGCATTTGAAAGTTTGATCTTAACAAGAGCGTAAAGTTTGGAACATGACTAGACTACTAGAGGCAGTCTGATGATGAATTAACAATGGTAAAGCTGGTGTCATTTAAAGACTTCCTCAGTATGTTTCAGAGCAAGTTCAATATGCAAGATTTTTCTCTCGCCTCAAGTTCCTACCACTAGAAAGTGTAAAGAAATCTAAGATACTGCACTGGTTTCTTCTTCCAGCCTTTTGTGCCTCCAGCACATGCTTGGTCTGATCCATGTTTCTGTCTGGCTTAAGGTGCCATTTAGATGCTCTAGCAAATAAAGCTGGATGCCATACTGAATTGCACATATCTACAGGAACTACAAGGAGAAGAATAGGTCAAAACATCCCTATTTCCTCTTCCCTCACAGTGCCTTGAAAGATTTTTGTTGGGTTTTTTTTTCCTTTTTTTTCGTTACTGTAGTTTGATCCCTGCTGTGGACCTCAAATCTCATTGATTTGAAATCTGCTTGAAGTTGCATTGATTTGAAGAAAACCTTGTCCTATCAACCAAAAAAATAGTCTACTTCACTTATTTTTCTGGCGACTGAAGCCAGAAGCTGTTGAGCAGCCCAAGGGTATTCAGAAGAATTGTAACTTACATTTACAGAATTCACCCATAAAACTCAGTATGTAACTTTATTAGCCATCAAAAAATGCATATATATACACACACGCGCATATGTATTGTTCTGTGTGGCGTATACACTGCTCAACTGAAGTTCTTATTTCTAACAGCAATTTTTGGATGTTACCACTTAGCATACAAAGACTTGATTTAATACTTTTGACTCAGCAGATACTTCTACTGACCTCAGCTGTGCTTTTTACCAATTAAGCAGTTAGAATTTATACTAACAATGCTTGGAAGAGCACCATAGATAGAATCTTTTTAAAAAATGTTGACTTGCATCGTTTGGCAACTTAATGGTCAAATTGCACATTGCTTTGCGCTTTGAAAGAAATTTATCCTCTCTCGCCAACACCACCATCAACAAATTAAGAGAATGATTTATGCCAGTAACTGAGCCTGTGCAACTGCATTTCTAGCATTACAGAAAATCTGCTCAATGAGATCAGCACCAAACCCTAAACATTTGTTTATAATAATCTTACAACGAGATTGTATCATTCTTGTGTGTTGTCTTAAGCATATGTACGTTAAAACGTTGTGATCACAAAGTTGGTAAGATTAAATATATCACTCTGGAAAATGCACATAAGTAATAATTCACAAGTCTCCCATTTCCTGCCATTCACATTCTCTTCCTCTCTCTGCCCCCTTGCAAAAAGAGGAAAAAGAAATTGTAAAAATCCCAAACCATAAAATGGCAGATTCACAACATTCACAAATATTTCCTGAGTCAAGGGAAAAACTGCCAACAAAATGACTTCATGCTTCATAAAGTTTTAAATTTTATGCTTGGACTGGAGAATTGGTGATCCTACTGTGTTAAAGCATATGCCGCTTGATGAGTCACTGACGTTTGGTTTTTAGCAGAGGATGAGAACACTCGGTTCAGTTTTACCCTTTTTGAAGTGTGAAATCTGATCCCCCTTTGGATATTATATTAGCATGTTATTCTTAAGATGAAGTTTAACTTTTTGTGAATATCCCAAATGTTAAATTTGTTCTGAAAGTGACCTTTTACTGTCAATGCCCAAACCACAATTTGTGGAAAAAACACCCAATTTTTAAAATAATGTTTCGTATGTTACATCATCATCTTTCTAAATCTGCTGAAAAATGGATGGTGTGATAGCACACAGAGATTTAATTAATCCCTTATTTCCTTTCTGCTCCTGTGTAAAGAGA